TAGAGTCAAGAAGCCACACCATGAGCTAGTAGAGTCAAGAAGCCACACCATGAGCTAGTAGAGTCAAGAAGCCACACCATGAGCTAGTAGAGTCAAGAAGCCACACCATGAGCTAGTAGAGTAGAAGCCACACCATGAGCTACTAGAGTCAAGAAGCCACACCATGAGCTAGTAGAGTCAAGAAGCCACACCATGAGCTACTAGAGTCAAGAAGCCACACCATGAGCTAGTAGAGTCAAGAAGCCACACCATGAGCTAGTAGAGTCAAGAAGCCACACCATGAGCTACTAGAGTCAAGAAGCCACACCATGAGCTACTAGAGTCAAGAAGCCACACCATGAGCTACTAGAGTCAAGAAGCCACACCATGAGCTAGTAGAGTCAAGAAGCCACACCATGAGCTAGTAGAGTCAAGAAGCCACACCATGAGCTAGTAGAGTCAAGAAGCCACACCATGAGCTAGTAGAGTCAAGAAGCCACACCATGAGCTAGTAGAGTAGAAGCCACACCGTGAGCTAGTAGAGTCAAGAAGCCACACCGTGAGCTAGTAGAGTCAAGAAGCCACACCATGAGCTAGTAGAGTCAAGAAGCCACACCATGAGCTACTAGAGTCAAGAAGCCACACCATGAGCTACTAGAGTGTAGAAGCCACACCATGAGCTAGTAGAGTCGAAGCCACACCATGAGCTAGTAGAGTCAAGAAGCCACACCATGAGCTAGTAGAGTCAAGAAGCCACACCATGAGCTACTAGAGTCAAGAAGCCACACCATGAGCTAGTAGAGTCAAGAAGCCACACCATGAGCTAGTAGAGTCAAGAAGCCACACCATGAGCTAGTAGAGTCAAGAAGCCACACCATGAGCTAGTCACTGTAGAGTACTACGATAGCCTGAAGCCACACCATGAGCTTTCAGAGCCACACCATTAGCTGCATACCAGTACTACAGGTTGAAGCCCGGCTGTTTTCCTTTCTCGATACCAACGGCTGCCTACCATCCGCCGGGACTCAGGAACCTGGAGGAGCGGCTGGGCCATCGATATCTGGGAAAGTCTATTAGCTGAGATAGTAAATATATATCGTACTAGCTCATCCATTTTGCTTGTTGAGTGAAAGTGTGGATCGGAGATCATTTCGCTCTGACGTCATGGCTGCCGTGGCGCCTAACGGTAAGGGAGACGAACATGCAGAAGCAGGAGAAGAGAAGAGAACAGAAAAGAGGAGAGGAGAGGAGAGGAGAGGAGAGGAGAGGAGAAGAGGAGGGGAAGAATGTGAAGGGAGATGAGGATAGACCAGGCGAGAGAAGAAGAGAGGAGAGGAGAGGAGAGGAGGAAACAGGAAGAGAATTCGTCTATCCTCATGCATATCCTCCCCCATCTGGCGTCCTCTTTGGCTCTTCCCAGACTGATTGGGAGCAAGGGAGCCAGGAATTCACTACACTGCGCCCTTTCTTCTCCTTCTTGTTCACCCTTCCTCCATCTCACTCATTTGCTTCCTCAGCCGAGAAGATCCTCAAGGAGATCGAGGGGCAGATCACATCGTTTCATGACAAGAGCAAAGGAAGCCTTGAGGCCATCGGACTTCTCTTCAGTGAGAGTGAGACCTTCTTGTCGCGTCTCGCTCTTCATGACTGCATAGCGACACCAGTGGCCAGCCAGCCCCTTCCCCCCCAGATGATCTGCCAGATCTTGAAGATGGACGAGGAGACGGTCCGAGCAAGCTTTGAAGCCGGCAACCCGCCTCGAGCCTCTAAGGAGCAGCTGGTTGAAGCCATAAGAACCTCCATCGACCCGGAGGATGATGTCGAGCTCTACCGCAAAGTGAGCACGCGAGCAGAGGAGCAGACGGCCGTGGGTGTCGAATGCTGCGAGGAGGTTGAAGCCTGTCCAGGTTCTTGAGAAGCACATCACTCGGTTTGAGAACACGGAGAAGGTGTCGCACCCTCTCGCTTTATTCTCTTGTCACCCTTGTTGCTAGATCATGTCTGCTCTGTCTAGCGACCTCTCGAGCTTCCATCGACACGTGCCCGTCTCCTCCTCCTTCCTCTGCTTACTTCCTGCAGGTCGGAGGGTCCGTGGACAAGATCTCAGCTTTCTTCTCGGACCTCGCGCCTGCCCCTCAGAAAGGCGAGCCCATGCCAGAGGGAATGATTCACGCCCTCCTCCGGATCGAACAATCAGCCAAGACATGCTCGGTCTACCTCATGCCTGCCTTGTGTCTCGCCTCCTCCTCACTCTCCTCCTTCCGCATCCCCGTGGCATGTCGCGCAGACTCACGAGGCTTCCACAGGCTCAAGACTTCCTCGACTGCTTCGAGCGGAACCTGGATCTCTCCGATACCGTCACTGAGATCAAGACTGTCTCTCCTCCCCCTCCCCCTCCTCCACTCCTCATGATGCCTGCAGGTGTTGGACAAGCATATGGCAGCTTGAGCAAGATCAGCGACAATGCAATCAGCACATGCACGCTAGTCAGATTTTCTCCCTCTTTCTTCCTCTTTCGCGATTTTGTTTTCTTAGAAGACTTAACTCTGAGTTAAGGCTGTTGATGGAACGACACGAGCCAAACAAGTGAGGGGAGGAGGACGAGAGCAAGGGGAGGAGGATGAGAGCAAGGGGGAGGAGGACGAGAGCAAGGGGAGGAGGACGAGAGCAAGGGGAGGAGGACGAGAGCAAGGCGGAGGAGGACGAGAGCAAGGGGGAGGAGGGGGTCAGCGGTAGTGAGGGTAAGGCTCAGCTTGAGCTCTCGCAAGAGGAATCGACCAGGTAGCCACCACCAACACCATCATCGGATATCTCCGAACCATCTCGCGCATCCTCCCCAACACCTCGAGAGCTCCCGAACCTCCTCGCCGCCTGCTCGCATCATCCGTGAGGGAGCGCAGCAAGCAGCACATCGCTGCACCTCTGACGTCGAGCTACCACCTGCCCTACTTCGAAGCGATGAGCAGAACGTACAACATGCCCGCGATAAGCCGCCTGTCAGGTTATGAGCATGAGCGTGAACTAGAGGCAGCTCCTCGCCTGCAGGCGAAGCACTAGCTTGTGTCTTCTCCAAGTTCGCTCTGCGAGCCCTCGTGCTTTGTGTCCACGGAACACTGATTGCACCTTGATGGCTGCTAAGAGCCTGAACCCTAAGCTTGTCTCAGGTTAGTACACCACGGGCCAACAAAATCATCAAACCTGTGATTTGCTTCTTGTCTCATCAGCTCCTCCGTTTGTCCTCTCTTCGGCCTCCCCATATCCTCCTCCTCCTCCTCCTCCTCCTCCTCCTCCTCCTCCTCCTCTCTTCTGTTCACTGTAGCTAGCATCCAATTCCGCTTCTAGATTTTCGGTTTGTGAGAACGGGTCCATAAAAATGTAAATTCAGGTAAATTTCGATAATTGCACTGGGCCGGGCCCGGGGCCCCGGGCCGCGCGCGGCGGGCCCGGCGGGCCCGACCCGGCGACCGTCGGAGTCGCCCAGCGTACGACCGTCATCGATCAGCGCGGCTCAGCAACAGACCGTACTGTTGCTTGACCCTCGCAGGTTTAGCTTGTTCCTGCTGCTTTGTTCTGCTTGAGGCACTTGAAAGTTTTACCTTCCGAAGTTCTGCGAGCCTGATGGCTTCATGTTCAAGACGCTGGTGAGGGCGAGCCATCTCCAGAAGCTGCGCTTCTTCCTCCAGGGGTCATCTCCGTTTCTCCCGCGGGTCCAGTCACAGATTCGTCGCTTTGACCTCTCTGTCCACCTGGCGCTTGAGAAATACCACCGCTGGCCTTCCTCGCAGTACCTCGCCGCGCATCCCGACCTGCTAGAGTTTGCGAGGTTCAAGCGGGAGCTTCCGCATAGTCGGGGAGGGGACGA